GTCATCAGGTTCATCACCTCGAAGTATAGAAGCGATAGACTGACCCCGTCAACAAAAGGGTCATTTAAGAGAGTGCTGATCACTCTTACCATGGAATATTAGCTTTTGCTGGTGGGAACATTAGCTTCCTAGAGTCACCAAATACTGTATGTGGGATAAAACTGAACCTTGAACTGCCTCATAAAATGACTTTATATTTTAGGACATGGGAAGAACAGAAGACAGAGCATGCTCTTTTAAGTCTGATAACATGGTTTCAAGCCCAGCCCCCAGCCTTTCTTATCAATCAAGGACTCAGAAATGAAGGCAATTATTTCTTTTGGTGGACTTGGAATCTCCGTTTGTCTACACTGTCCTCTTCACAGTGGAGTCTTTTTATTTCAGACCTACAGATTGTTTTTATATTCGTTGTCACAGTGTGACAAGTTTTTTGTACAGTTGGTTTTAAGGTCTTCTCTGCCGTTAGAGCCAGTAGGTTACAGCTGTTGATGTAACTGTAGCTGCAATTTTTGTGCAGGACTGAGAAACACAGTGCATTATTTATTGCGGAATCATGCTGCTAAATAACTACTGTCTGTTTATTTAACACAACAATTGAATGCCTGAAGAAGTTGCAGTGGCTTTCTTATATGTGAATGCATCTGTTTCTCCTCACGAATTGTTTTACTGCTGCATTTTTTGTTTGTTCGTTTGTTTTTAAGATTAAACTGCAGTGTTTCCTGGAATGTAATTTAGCTTTGCTTAACAGTAAAATAAGTGAGCCATCTTGAACACTCTAAGTTCATGCTATATAATCTATAATATATCATTTTTAATTGAACATTGGCAAATAGAATAGCTAAGAAATTGATAAGCACATTATGTTTAGGAAAGCCTGTGATGCAGAAGTTGATTCAAGCAAGTGAATACCTGACATTTTGGAGATCTCACGTTAGAGACCAGTAAATTAAAGCACCAAAATTATTTATTTTTACCTTTCCTCATTTTAGAAATATTTACTGTATATTATTGGATATTTGTATACTAATACCTTACCTATTTTACATTGTGCTTTAATTTAGTTAAAACCATACAAGTCCAGTCAAACATGAGAGGTCTTGTTTCTGTTCGTTTTAAATAGTTTTATTAGAAAGGATGATACTTCATTGAGGAACAATTTATTTCATTTGGGGGCTGTATGTGTGTGTGTTAATAGCACTCACTTGGAATCAGCTGAAAGCTGTAATATGTCTTTGAAATGAGCCATGATAAATACAAATAAAAAAAGTGAAAACTTATAGAGGATTGTTTTAAAGCATTGTAAGTATTATCTGTTACCCAAAATAGTAAATATTACAGTTTTAATTATGCATCTCTTTGAACATCATAGCCACACTTTGATGTTGGTAACAGTGTTTTAAGCATTTGTGTTAACTTTTAAGACTATTTGTTTAGTGCATCTTACAAACTACAAATCTTAATTGGTATATTTTAAGATGATCATGTAAATTTTTGGCTTATATATCATGAAAATAGTCATAACTTAATTTTTTTCCTGACATTCACTGTAAAACATTCAGGGGTCCTACCATTTCTGTTCAGGAAATCTTGTAGTTTATTGTTATTTAACAGTATTAAGTGAATTTCTGTATATTTCATTTTAACTTTATTTGTGAATAGTGATTGTGGCATGTTTGGGGTGTTATTTTAATATTTCATAATACTGAAATTTTAATTTTTTAAAAAAAAATTTCTGGAAGAAACAGATTCATGTGTAATGGTGAATATTGGACCACTACTGTTTTTCACATTTGTAAATTAGTTTTATGTTAAACCCTGTAGCCTAACAAACTGCTGTTATTTCTAACTGACAGACATGTATTACTTTGAAGGTTATAAATATCATGTGAAATTCCTCCATTTTGTTTTGAAATTTATAATAACAAAATCTTCATGTTGTTAAAATGTGGTTTTGTCGAGTCCCAGTTCTTTCTAGGGGAAGAAGGCTATACTGAATGGGATAATTTTCATTTATGGGTCTCATTCTTAAGATAATGAAGTCTCAGTGTGTTAATATTTAATATTTGTGCTGGCCATTCATTTAGTAATCTGTACTGTAGTTTTTATAGGACAGCATTCTCAATTATAAGTGTCATAAATTTTATTTCATAGATTATGTATTTGATTTGTTGCAAATCGGACACATTCATAAGTTTCATTCTTGTATATAAAAGGTAAAGAAATATTTCCAGTAATATAAAATTCTTCTTCCTAGGAAGTCCTAGGAATGTTTCCTCATTTTATTAAGGAATTTGGTATTTTTTTCTTTTTTTTTGATACTTGAGCGCCATTCAGGTCCTGGAAACTTTGCAATGAAGAGAATTGAAACTGAGAAATTTTGAACCTTGAACACTTAATGATTCGTCTTAAACTGACAGGGTTCTTAAAGGTAAGACAGGATGACTTTTTTTGTTTTCCTTCCAAGTGATGTTGTTAACACATATGGAGTATGTCACTCTAGGTATATGGAAGCCGAGTGGCTGCCTTTTATTTGCTGCTTTATCAGCTTATGTTTGAAAGTCGACTTATTAACATGTTAAAATAATTTATCTTTTGGACCCCAGACAATTCATGCAGGGTTTTTTGTGTGTCTTTACTATTTTTTTTTAATTGTGGTAATTTATATAGTATATAACATAAAATTAGCCATTTATCTGTTGTAAACATACAATTCAGTGGCATTAATTAGATTCACAACATTGTACAGCAGTTACTACTATCTATTTCCAAATTTTTAATCACTCCAAACAATTGTGTACTTTTTAAAAAATAAGCTCCCATTTTCCCCCCCCCCCCCCCCCCCCCCCAGTCCCTGGTAACCTTACATATACTTTTTTTGTCTCTGAATTGCCTATTCTAGATAGTTCATGTAAGTGGGATTGTACCATATTTGTCCTTTTGTGCCTGGCCTGTTTCACTCAGCATAATGTTTTCAAGGTTCATCCATATTGTAGCTTGTATTAAAGCTTCATTTTTTTCACAGCTAAATAATATTGTGAAATGAATATACATTTTGTTTATCCATTTATCTGTTGATGGACACTGGGTTTTCCCCACTGATTATGAATATGCTGCTATGAACATTGGTATACAAGCACCTGTTTCAGTCCTTTTCAATTCTCTGGGTTTATATATACCTAGTAGTTGTTGGGTCATTCAGTAATTTCTGTGTGACTTTTTGAGGAACAACCAAACTGTTTTCCATAGCTACTGCGCTATTTTACATACCCAATGGTAATATGAGTTCCAGTTTCTCCTCCTCAGCACCAACACTTGTTTTCCTTTTTTTTTTTTTATTCATTCTGATAGGTGTGAAGTGGTATCTTGTGGTTTTAATTTTCATTTCCCTGATGACTAAAGATATTGAGCGTCTTTTTATGTGCTTGTTGGCTATTTGTATCTGCTTTGGAGAAATGTCCGTTCAAGTCCTTTGCCCATTTAAAAAATTAATGTCTTTTTGTTGTTAAGTTGTAGGAGTTCTTTATATATTCTAGATGTTAGACCCTTATGAGGTATAGGATTGTGATTTCTTCCACTCTGTGGGGTTGTCTTTCATTTTCTTGATAGTATCATTTTGATACATACAAGTTTTAAGTTTAATGAAGTCCAGTCTATCTATTTTTCTTTTGTGGCCTCAGCTCTTGGTGGCATATTTAAGAAAGTATTGCCAAACCCAAGGTCGTGAATATTTTCCCGTTTTAAGAGTTTTATACTTTTAAAGTGTGCTTACATTTAAGGCCTTGAGCCATTTTGAGTTAATTTTTGTATATGGTGTAAAAGTAAGGGTCCAACTTCATTCTTTGCATGTGAGCATCTAGTTTTCACAGCACTGTTTGTTGGCTTTTTCCAAGGTCTTGGCACCCTTGCTGGAGATCAGTTGACTGTAGGTGTGAGGGTCTATTGGGGCTCTTCTTTCTGTTCTGTTGGGCTCCAGCTCCGTCCTGCCTGTACCACAGCGTTTTGATTACTTATAGCGTTGTTAGTTTTGAAATCAAGAGGTGTGAGTCCTCCAACTTTGTTCTTTTATAAGATTGTTTTGGCTATTCAGGTCACTTGAAATGCCATATAAAATTTAGGATGAAATTTTTCTGTTTTGGGGGAAAAAAAGTGCTATTGGGGTTTTGATAGGAATTGCATTGAAACTGTGGGTCAATGGGTAGAATTGCGATTTTAACAAACCTTGAATGTGGGATGTCTTTCATTTCTTTCAGCAATGTTTCAGCAGTGTTCAGTGCCTCCTTGATTAAATTCAATCCTTAAGTATTTTATTCTTTTTCATGATATTGTAGGTGGAATTGTTTTAATTTTTTTCAAATTTTTCATTGCTAGTGTGTAGAAATATAAGTGATTTTTATATGTAGATTTTACATCCTACAACTTTGCTGAATTTATTAACTCTTTAACAGGGTTCTTTTGTGGATTCTTTAGGTTTTCTACATGTAAGACATATCATCTGTAAATATAGTTTTATTTCTTTCTTTTTAAGTACGATGCCATCTATTTATTTATATTTATTTACTTACTTATTTATTTAGTTTTGCCTAATTGCTCTGGCTGGGACTTTCAGTACTATGTTGAATAGAAGTGGCAACAGAAGGTATCCTTATCTTGTTTCTGATATTAGGTGGAAAGCTTTCTTTCACCGTTGAATATGATATTAGTTGTGGCTAAAAGAATAAATGGTAATTTTTTCCCTTCTTCCTCACCTCCCCCATCATCTCAATACAGAACAAATGATAAAACTTAAAGATTTAGAAGATCAGTGTACACTTTTTAAACCCATTCCCTTCTCTCCAATTCAATCTCAATAATTATATTTGTTTACTTAAATATCTGTTTAAAGCAGATTATATATATACATAGCATGTTCTGATATACCACATTTAAGGCTAGATGACAAGAGTCATTTTCTAACCTGTACCCATATGGAAAAATGCAATTTGGATTATCCCAAGTAAATGTAAGTAAACCATCCCACTTGCCTTGCTCCTCACACCTTTTATTACAAAGTATTTATTGAACAAAAATAATATAACAGTAAAAATGATACATATATGAAAGTGAATCAAGATTTGCAATCATAGAAAAGATGTGTACAAAGAGACCAATGTTTACGTTATAACAGTTCTATAAAACTTTAGCCATAGCAGTTTAACACTGATCAAGTAGACATATAAAAAGGAAGAAAAAAGTTATTATGTTATTTGAAACTTATTTTCTGACTAAAAGAGTTGATAAAAAAAAAACAACCACCACACATAGAATGAGGCAGAGCTATAAGGGTTATACTTCAATACCTCCAGTTCTCTATTTGTGTTATAGTGGGTTTTTTGAGCCATCAAAAATGATGGTATTTTTCCATTTATAGTAAATGGAGCTAGAGTATATGCTAATCATAATATTTGGAGGAAGGGAATACCAGAATCAGATAGTCATATATAGATATATTTTCAGTTACCATTTACATTTTAAAATATTTTGCGTTGAGATTTTTGCACATTAACTTCCCTTTTAGTTTCTCTGTAATTATCTTGTGTTTGGGGTGCGTTCTCTGACTGATTTTTTTAAACGCTCTTTATCTGTTTTTTTCTACTTAACATATTAGTTTTGGACCAGTAGTTCCTTATAGCTAAGCACAGAGAAGCAGAACTGGACTGAGCACCAATCATTGTCTTACCTTCCATGAGCTGTGTGGCCTTAGGCAACTCCTGGCTTCTGTGCAGTTGTCCTTATCTGAAAAGGGTGATGGGACACATTCTCAAAGGCTCTTCTAGCTCTAACATTTTACATTTGGTAAATATCAGCTGGACCAGCTATTTCAGTACAGAATCATACTTAGCCCATGAGGGAGTGATAGTAGTGTCTTTTTGTGGATTTTAGAATCAGTCCCATTGCATTGTATTCAGAGATGCATACTAGAATGTTTCGATTTTTCTCTGGATAAGGGTATACATAATCTGCACACATAGAGATATTCAGTTCCAATTGATACTCACAAAATTGTGAGTATCATAACAAAAATTTTACAGTTTTTGTAAATTCAAGAAATGTTGGTGTTTTTAATAAGCTTTATTTTTTTACAAAACCCTTCTCATAATATAATCCCTGCTATTTAATGCCTGATTTGGATCAATTAATTATTCAGCCACATTTCAAAGTGATTTCTGTTCCTTATAGTTAAGGATGGTAATTACCCTGATCTTGAATTGAAAGCACTCAGCCCTTTCCAGTTCTCTACATTAGAACCTTCCTACTAAACATACAGAACAATGTCTTAGAGTGTTACCTGCTGATTTTTTGAAGGAATAGAAAACATGTCTCTGTTATCACTGCTCTAAACTACACTACACAAAAGAACTTACTGCTGAGTGTTCCAAATCGTTATGTAATCAGTTCAGTTCCACAATGATGTGGTTCCTGAAGAATTTTATATTTGTTGTATCAGATTTCCTTCATTCTCACCATAAGCTTAGTAATCTAACGTCTCAATTCCCACAAGCAAGGCTATACCTATACACATGAAGATACCTGGTGGTACAAAATTGTTTCTTTGTTGTTGTGTATTCATCACCAGTCCGTGAGCCTCTTCCCAAGCATAGCATTTTTAAATGTTAATTATAGTTCCAGCGGTTTAGAGAAACCTTAACTCATAATGATACATGAAATGTATCAGAGGAGTATGATTCTCTATGGAAAATGGGGAGAACCAGGGCTAATTTTTTGAAATAAGAATATGTTAACCTAGGAAATATTCTATGGGTATGGATAGAGTAAACTTGAGATAGCTTTCCCATCTCAGGTTTTTTGTTTGCGGGGAGTCTAAAAGATTGTGAACAGCTAGGAAACTAGCCTTTCAAAGTTTACTTTTTTAAAAATGCACTTTAGAACATTTTCTTTTGTGAATGTTTATTGTCTAAATATGGCTTAGTTTCTTATATGGACGTTACATTTATTGAATTTCAGTTCAAAAGAGGTTCTAAGACAATTATAATTGAAAGCAAAAAAGAAAAAGTAATATGAATATGCTTTCATATTGCCTACTTGTGAAAAATAATGAAATTCTACTAGAGAGCTGTTTGACACTAATTTTTGTCTTTCAAACATTTTCTCTTAATACTAAAAAATATATAAATCATTTACATTAAACTAAATGCAAAGGAAGGCACAGCTGGTTATAGTGTATATAAGCACAGTTCAGCATACATAGAATACAGGGAGAAAAGCTTCACATCCTTATTAGTTACACTGAAAACCATTAAGAAAAGTTCTTCACTGTCAACAGTGTTCAACACTTAAGAGCTAAGAGGATATAAAAACAAACATTAAAATTCACTTAATGCAAAACAGATTTTCATATATACTTGAATATAAAAAAAAGTTTTAAAAATGCTAACATAATGTCCATGTTATGAAAAGTGCAAACCAAATTAACAGAGGGTTTCACAAAGTCCTTCTCATGACACAGGTAAACTAGCCCATGGGGACAAATTTGTTTCATCAGTTAATGAGTCTTTAATTGTAGCCAGATGTCATCAGGACTTCTGAGAGTTCGAAGAAAGCAGTACTGGAGAAGCAGCTCTGTCCAAATTGGGGATTGGCACCGGCATGTGGCCATTAAGCAGTGTTGGGAACTGTAGGGGACAAAAGGTTTTTAAAATAATTATTGCAAATTCATTGGGAAGAACGTGAGTTCTTTACATTCCTAGACAGACCATAGTGGATCAGTTGTCATTATCCCTGTGATACAGGTTAAGTTGTAAATTATTTTACAGAATGAGTAATTGGAAGACAACAATGAAATCAAGATTACATACAGCAAACAGAGGATAAGGCCCAGGAAACGTCCCTATTATTTTATATACCTAGGATACTAGAAAAGAATATGTACTTTATATGTTGCTAAAGTATGTTTTGTTTTGTTTTTTAAGATTTTTATTGGGGAATTGGGGGGATGGGAACAGTGCTGGGGAATTGCGGGAAGGGGAACAGACAAGTTGCTGTCGTTTTTGTTCTTCAGTCTAGTTGTGGAGGACGTTGCTTCACTGGCCCAAGTTGGCACCATCTTTGCGCTCTTTTACCATTTTTGAAAGGTTCCAAACTACTTAGAGTGCTCATTTGCTTTAAATATTAAGGAAAAAAATTTGAAAAACCTTCACATGTGACTCAGTAATTTCTAATACTATATTTTGAAATTCGCCATCAGAATGAGAAATGTCTTTATCTTAAAAGATTTACAAAGCAAGAATGTTTGGGGGCTGAGAAAGTACTCTAAAATGCTAACATCAAACTTAATAGAGAGATCACCCATTCATGACACAACTTGAAAAATAAAGTTAATTTCTTCTGTATTGTTAACTATGACAATAAATAGGATAAAGCTATATGCTTTGATAACTTGCAGGTCTGAAAGGAATACAGAAGCTGTACTCCCAAATGAACAAGATTAAAGATTGACTTTTAATACATGATTATTTACAACTAGATTTTCTTTGTCTAGGATGATACGTGTCAGAATGATCTGCTGGGCTGTCTTCTAGTTTAATTCCTATTTAGTCTAGCTAAATTAAATATTAAACTTCATTTTACTGAATATCAAACTACAGAGCATGTTACATGTTAGAAGTACAATAAATATTTGTAGAACAAATATATTTTTGTAATTTTCAAGCTATTTTAGTAACTGTTATGTCTCTAGTGCCTTACCGTTTATCAGTGGTTGTCATTTCATTTGATATCTAGAGCCTGTAAGGTCAATTTGGTTATCTCCATTTTATAAAGGAGAAAACAGTTCAAGTACGTTCTGATAGACTAAAGGTCATAGCTAATAAGCAGTAAAGCCAAGTTTTAAACTGTCCAATGGAAAGATACTGTGTTTTCTGTACCAAACTGCCCAATTATTTTTGGCAAGGGTTGGTGGGGCAGGGGGTGTGCTCTTTAATTACTGTTCCAGTTTTTGTAATGGTTATTGGTATATGGTAGGTTTTTGTTTCTTTTCTAACACTTTGGAATTTTCATCTTTTTATAGCATTTCATCCATTTCAGCTGGGTTATAAAATGTTTGCATGTAGCTTATACTCTTATTTCAGGTCCGTGCTCCTACCCACTGTTCCCATTAAGTTAGACTGAAGACTGGAAGAAGGGCAGGCTTTCCATTTTCATTGTTTTAGTTTATTTGTATCTTCTCTTATTTTGGTTTTATATATCGTATTGGTATTTTCAAAAGAATTAGCTTTTGGTTTAGTCTCCTTTTTAATAGATTGTCATACATTGATTGCTGCCCTTTGCTCTTTATTTCTTATACATGCGGTTATCAGTTTCTTTGGTTAGCCTGGCTTTTTTGGTATGTGTCCTAGTCATCTTTATTGGCTCTGACTGCCCTCCTCCGCCCCAAACCCCATTCCCCAAACTTGTCCTCAGCCTGCCTTTCTCCTGTCCTGGACCCAACAGTCATTTCCTGTTGTTACACATACCCACCACTGCCTTCCCCACAAGACCTGCTCTTCTGTGCTCATTCTTAAGTCAGGGATCGCGGTGGTTAGGAGTGAGTACAACCCTGACCTTGACCCAGAGCTCGGCTACTTCTTAACATGGGATCTTGGGTAAACTGAAGCAACACCTCTGGGCCTTAGTTTCCTTACCTTTTCGAATAGAACTATTGGGAGTATTAAATGAGAAGCCACAAAAAGTACTTAGATCAATGGCTGGCATACAGTAAGGAGCTCTCAATAAATGTTAACTATTGTTCTTAATAACATTTCCAGTCTTTTAATCATTTAGTAATCTTTAATCATTTAGTAATCTTAGCCTCTTCCTACTTTCCATTACCTGTTTACTCCTTAAACCCAACTAAAACTCTTCATCTCCGTTTCCACTGTTCTAATCTAAAAGATGATTCTTCCCTCAGTATTTGGAGTGTAAATTTCCTCACACCTCCCAGCCTCTCATGCTTTCTCTTCAGTCCTTCGTCCGCACTGATACCGGCAATATCTTTCTAAGACAGAGATGTCATCACACCATCTCCAGCCTAAAAAGCCTTCCATGGTTATCACTTAATAAGAGAGTAAGGTGGAAAGTCCTCAGCATACTATTCAAGACGCGCAGCTGCTTTTCCAGTCTGATCTCCTATCACCCAATACCTTCGTGAACAGACTAGACTGTGCACTTCCACACACAAATCGTGCAGATCCATTCATCTACAATGTGCTTTATTCTTTGCTGAAATCCTGGCCCTTCTTAGCTCAGCTCAGGTGCCACTTCCTTGGAGCTTTTGTCCAGTCCCCAGCTAGAAAGAGCCGTTACTGTTGGGTTCGTCTAGGAATTTGTTTACACTCCTGTTCTATAACCCTACATTCCCTGCCTCAGAGCACTACAAATATCTGCTGAGTTAGATTTGTTGAACTAAAAATTACAGAAAACATTCTCAATTGAAAACTTAATTGGCTCCATCTTGTTTTAAGATATATTTGTACCTACTAAGGCTTATTCCAAATTTGATCAACATCTGTTTCAAAAGTGGAACAGACATCCTTTAGACAAACTGAAAATGCCAAACCGCCCAGTTGAAACTGATCTCACTGTCTTTCTAAATCATGGTTGTATTTTTAGATTTAGCACAGTGTCTTTGTCCTCTCTCTCTAACACACTCTCGATTACAAAGCATACCCTCTCCCAGAAAGGCTTAATACTGTCTCTCTCCTTCCCTTAAATTCTTCAGTTTCTGCTATAACTTGCCATAACAATTCTATCAGGGGACCTTCTGTGCAAAAATTCAACTCTGTGAACCCTCAGGATTTCTGATCTTTTTCAGTCACAATTTGAAATTTGCCAGCATCATTTAAAATTTACTGTGTTTTTTTTCTTCCTCTAACATATTTATACCATGTGAAAGAGGTTTGTTGTTATTTTTAAAGGAAATTATTTTCTTTAGTTGAAAAGGGGCACTGTTGACACTCATCTGAATTTTGAAAATCCATCATTTGAAATGCCTAGTTTTAAAAATGAAAGTATAGGCAGCATTTGAGATCTTGCTCCTCAGCATGTATCATCAGTTTGGTTCAAATAAACTCTTGTTAAAATTCTGCCCCAAAAAAGTATCATCCCTTTTACCATGTTTCGTTATTTACTATTTTCAAAACTCCTAATTTCAATTTTAACCACACTAACATGCTCTTATCATAGGAAGAGTAATATTTTAAGAGTTTTAAAAGGTTTTTCTTTAGTCTCATGGATCCCAATCACAAAGGAGGGCCATCCAAACATGGTTGCATTTTTTTTCCCCCCCAGAGTTGTATTTTGAATGGTTCCAGGAGAGAGGACAGGCCTATTCTGTGAAGTTAAAATTGTGAGCAGGTAGCTTTTAAATGCAGCAATTTCTTCTGCAGAATTCTAAATGTAAATTGGGAGTGACTGGTCTGCGCTGGTTCTCAAAGTGTGGTTCCTGGAGAAGCAGCATCACTAGGAACTTGAATGAATGCTATCATCCGACCCTACCCCAGCCCTTCTGCCCAATCAGGAGCTCTGGGGGTGGGGCCAGCAATCGGTATTAATCGGTATTTTATCACACCCTCCAGCTGACTCTGTTGCATACTAACTTGGAGAATCACTAGTTTAGTCGTGACTAAAGAGGAAAGGATATATACATCTCCTAACCCCGAGAGTTCCTGATAGGATAACCTGTGGAATCACTGTGGACGTGAACCAGCCTTGCTGTGGGGAATAACAGGCTGGGAAAGGTTTAGTAGCTAAGGCAGGTGTGCCAAAGAACTCCTAAGCGATAGTTCTCCATAGCCTCTTTGGGAGGTCACCAAGCCCTGCACCAATCAGGTGGCAGGATTTCCAGGAAGGAGGGAAGTGAGCATCCTTTTTTTATTCACAAGTATCTCTGAACCCAACAGAGGCCCGATGTTAGATCCTAGGATTATAGGAGTAGCGCAGTCCCTTCTGCCTTGGAGCTTACTGTACATACACACCACACAGCGCCTTTCTGCTCAGCTCAGGAGCTCTGACACGAGAATACTGCTGCTCCAATCTGGAGACTTTCAGGAAATGAGGTCTTTGCGCTTTCCATCAAGAGACTGCTAATCTAAGACTTTTCTACTACATTTGCTCAGCTTTTGTTTACCTGCTGAGTTAAAATGGCTAAGCACCAACATGTTGGCTGTGCATGACCATAGCTCAGTTTCTTGTGATGGGAAGAAGGGCCAGGAAGAGAAACCTGATTACTCCAGGGATATAGCGACATCGTGACACCCCACCTCCACTGCTAGGAAACCAGAGAAGCAAGATAGCAATCAAAACCTGCCCAGCTCTACCCTTCTTCAAGACCCTAAATCCCACCATGCACAGCTCCTTGCACAGAGGAGGTAAATAGTAACCTTAACAAGCAAAACGACCAACTCAAAAAAGCATGGAGACTTGATCTTTTTAACACTTTCTTCTACATCTCTTGGCAGATTGTTAGGCATCCATTAATTCAGTCAGTCAGTGATAATTGCTGAGCATCGTTTGTGTACCAAGCAATGTGCTTGATGCTGGGGGCACATCACAGCGAACAGATACAGTTCCGGCCTTGGGAGGGCCCACAGTCTAGTGGGGGACATTGCCAGATGGAACAGACCATCATAACACAAAGTGGCAAGTGCTAGATGCAACAGGAGCAGAAGAACTACATACAAGTAGCTTGGAGTGAGTCACACTGGGGGTGGTTTTAGGCTGCAGGGTGGATGAGACCGATGAGGCTAGAATTAGACAGGTAAAGAGGGAGTTTATACTTTATCCAGCTTATACTTTATCCAGCTTTCTCTCATTCCTGTCCCCGGGATCCTTTCTATTCCACACTCACAGTAACATCTTGGTCGGTAAGTTAACAATCTTTGGTTCTCTTTGAGGAAATAGTGATTTCCACATGACACCAAGTGATGCTACTGCAAGATTTTAGTGTGTGAATGAATAATGAACGTGTTTATCTGGGATTTTGGCGAGATATAGCAGCTAAGACTTAATTTTTAAACAAATGCCCCAGATACTCCTTTTTTATTATTGGAACAAGGAGAACTTGACTCATGGAATTTACAGATAATTCTTCTATTACAGTATAGAAAAGTTGTTCACTATTATTTTTCACTTTAAATAATGTCACTACTGACCAATATTTAATATTTTAGTCTTTTATGAGATTTTATCAAATACAATTCTTTAAGTTTGCCTTAATAAATTTCCAGTTTTCATAGCCAATGACAATTCTAGAACACTTCAAGCACGAACTGTTCTGTTTATAGATACCTGGCGCGAGAACTCCATTTCTACATCATGAAAATGGCTGTTTTTGAATGCAGCTCCATTAACATCAACACCCTTGGAAAACAACATTTTAACCAAACGTAGGACAGAACACACTGTTGCCTCTGCAGAACTGATTGGGGAACACATTCATCCCTTAGAAGTTCAGTGTTTAAAAGTTCCTTTGCAAATGCTCACCTGGAACAGCGTGTTAGGCCCTTGCAGCCGGGCAGGACTCAGTGGAGCAACTGGACTAAGGCTGCTCCAGAAATGAATGCTGGACAGCAGTGGACTCGGGGTCAGAAGCAGTCCGTTTGGTGTCTGAGAAAGAGAGCACAGAGAGAGTTTTTGGCATAGATATCATCTGACTCCAGGGTGATCAGCAGCGGGGCTAGGTGCCCCAGCCATGCACCAAGAAAGAAACCTCACCAGCTTAGGGAAATCTGACAACTGTTATTTCTGCAAGACTGCGTGCACAGTTTAATTGTAATTTTCTATTGGGTTGTTGGAAAAGTCATGACGTATTTTTCTATGTTTTTCGTTGCAAAAATGAGTCATGACTTTTCCGACAGCCTAGTATAATGCTGACTGTTTTAAAAAGGAGGGAGGTATAGACCAGTTACCTTCCCTAAACATTCTAATGGAAAAAAGGATAGCAACTTTTGTCCAGATGGTTTCTTCAGTTTGCTCCCCTGTACCCTTTTATATTAAACAAGATTTAGTGTACAACAAAACAGGATCTCATGAAGGGGCTTTATCTTTTTTTCTTATCTATGTTTTCTTAGTTTTCCACAGTGGACATCCATTACTTGGGTAACAAACACACACACATTTTTAAAAGGGCCTCACAAGCTTCACTTGCCCTATCAATGGCCCTTTCATACTTGAGAATTTGCTGCTAAAATGCCCTGTAGCAGCTTCTTCAAAAGCTGCACTGGGTTTTCCAGATTTCACTCCGGATGTGTGGCAGATGAGAATTCATCGCCCTGGCAATGGTTTGAAGGGGAAAAAAAATCCTTTCTTGTCAGATTGGGTGTAAAGCCAAAATTCTGGGTTTCCCGGGAGAGCGCCAAGGACGGCATTTGCTTGCACACACTCGGCAGGAGCCCGGGCCTGAGCCAGCTACAGGGCAGAAGAAACAGCCCTCCCAGCTGGTGCGTCTGCGTGGCTTGTGTGCTCCGCGGAGGCAAACTCCTGATCCCAGGGTGGTTTTGTACCTTTGGGGACTGGAAGGAGCCCCTCCATGGTTCTGTGATGTCAGTAGTTCCGTGTAAGAGAAACCACAGCCAGCAAAGGCGCCAGCTTTTCAGACTGCACCATGCTGGATGTGAAAGTGTTATTTTTTCCTAGAATTGGCCTAAGCAGCTTTGTTCATTATTGAGAGCATTTGGCTTAAACCAAAGTTGAGAACGCAGCTCTGTTCAGTGGAATGGAGACTTTTCAAACTATGAAGCTGCTGAAAGGTAAACTAATTTATACTAAAGTATTTGAGTCTTTGGTGCCACAGCATTTCCTACATATTCAGTGACCTATGAGGTCACTAGGATAAATACATGTTTTTGATAAGCTTCCCATCTGTTCGAATCCAAGGCAGTTTCACGTGTGCCAGGCCATCTGGCCTAACGGTTAAGACTCACCGGGTCCTGCCTGGGCTCTGCCAGGGTTCCAGCCTCCGAAACACGACTTACTTACTAGCTAGGGGACCTCTGTATGCCTCAGTTTCCTACTCTTTAAAGTGAGGAGAAAAAATGTCTACATTACAGGATGCTTGGGAAGATTAAATAAGATGACTTCTGTAAAGCTCTTAATATGTGCCTGGGACATAGCAGATGCTCAGCTAGTGTTAAAGACTGGTTTCGTTAGTAATTGAAAGTCCACCTGACACATTTACTAAATGCATTTCACCTATGCACGGGAGAAACTCTCAGCTGTATATAGAAAAGTACTTAATGCTCTGAAACAGCCAAGCCAGTCTCATCAGCTGGTACTTAAGGCTCCTCTCTGTCCTGTTAGGCTCAATCAAGTCCACGGGCTCAGGTGATCTGAGAACTAATACTTGCATGTTACTCTGGAGCCAGGTTCCAACCACAGTTAATGCCACGTTAACATTTAATAACCAGTGTGTTCAGAGCCTCCTCGTTTACCCACCAGTGAAGGTCTCAAAGCTCTAAAGAGACGATGAGTTCTCAACAAAACGTAGCTATCTTTCTCTCATCCATGGCCATACACATATAACCATTCTTTTTTAATCCGTTAAGCAATACACAGAGTGTAGCATTTATATTTTCACAGTCTAAAATTTGTACCCATGTCCGGATTTGAGATGTTTGCACATGTTTTTCTAAGGGATATAGGATATATTCAGAATACAGTAGCCTTCTGTTTCTTACGCATAATGTTTGAAATGTCTCCTGTAATATATGCAAATAAATATTATAAAATGACCTCAGCCACTCCTCTCCCTGCCGTCCCTGATCTCCCTGAAGATCCTGTGGCCTTAAAGAAGAAACTGGTTGCTCTTTTGAGGAACGTTCCTATAAAGCCTGCCCTGGGTCATTCTAAGTACAGTGTGAGCTCTCAGAGCCTCTCCCCACAAGCTTCAGGAGTCAGGCAGGGTAGGCTGAGCCTGAGGATGAGGAGCCAAAGAAAGACACAAAACACACGTGTCCTCTTCCGTGGGCCCTTGGATGGCAGAGGCCCGATGCCACCGGCCGCCAGCGCCGGAGATGCCCTCAGGCCCAAAAGCGATGGGCATTCATTTTAAAGGGGAAGGAGTCTCCTCCCAGGATCTCCATTCCATCCTCCCCACTCAGCCCTTCCACTTCATAGTGAATCTCCTAGAAAGCCCACACATCTGAGCTAATCCTGCTGAGCTGGTGTCCAGACGGGCCACCCCTGAGGGGCCCTTGGTTCATGGCCCTCCGACCTTCTCGTTCCTCCTGCCGCCTGCCTCCTGCCCAGCAAAAGGCCACTGCCTCACCTCACAGGAGACTTGCCTGTTCCCCCCCCCCCCCCCGTCAGAGGACACTTCTCTTCTTCTGAATCCTTGTCATGCTTTACAGCCACCTTTTTCCTTAACGTTTACCATGTTCTGCCTCATTGTATTGGGCTGTCGGAAAAGTCATGACGTATTTTTTCTGTTTTTCGTTGCAAAAATGTGTCATGACTTTTCCAACAACCCAATAATTTGCATGTTTTGATTCTGCCTCTTGCTGTCACCTGTAAGATATCTTGCTCAGCTGTATTCCTCTTGTACACAGCTCCTAAATACTTCATGAGCTGAAATGATCTGCCTCCCTAGGTGTACGCCCTTGCTTCTCACCTGTTAGATAGCTCCACTTGGAATGCCCCACACGATCAAGCTTGAATTTCCCACCTTCTTTCCAAGTCCAGCATTTCTTAGGACTCTTCCATTTCCGTCACTAGTACCACCATGTATCCGCTCAATAAATAGTACATAATACTTATCAGGGGCCAGAGAACCACACAGCCCAGCATCCCAGTCAGCAGTGCAAAATGCCTTCCCCTCGCCGTAACTTCCAGGCATGGTCTGTGCATCCTTCCTTGAACTGACTCCTATGTATCCCTTTATTTCTTTTCCTGCTTTATCCAAGCCACTGTCGCCTCACAGAGGGCATCTGACAACAGCCACCTCCACCAGTCCACCTGTCTTTGGTTTCTCTCCCAATCTATGCTGAGCACCACTACCGAATCAATCACCCACCCTAAGACATCACATTCATTAGAAATTCTTTCACGGTTTCAGAAAAAACAAGTACAGCCTCCTTAGCCACAATTCGAGGTTCCCCCCATAACCTGGTTTCAGAGGCTCCCTAATTTCCCTATATGAACCCTTCTACTTTGCTTGATATGTCCCGAGCTTATCTAATATACTGGTACACAGAATCTCAACCCCCCAGTTCCTCGGCACATTCCAGAACTTCCCTGACCCCCCCAGGCCATAGCTCCCTGGGCTAGACGCACTCCACAAGTGATCACATCCATTTCCATGGTTTTAACCATCAACGTACATGTTGATGACTCCCCAACATTTTGGTCCAGCCTCAAACTCTCTCCTTAGCTCGGGTTGCAACTGGATGTTTCCCCCTCACTCAACTTGGCCCAAACTGAACTTGTAACCTTTCCGCTATGAGCTTATTCCTTCCACACGCCTCATACTCAACTCCCTCCACACCCAGTCGCCAAGTCCTGTTGATGGCATTCCCTTTGTCTCTCTCAGATCTGTTCCCTGTGGCCCCTCCCACTGTCACAGCCTTAAAGCCTCCTTGTCTCTCACCTGGAATATTATAATTCTATCCTAACTGGTTCCAGCCTCACTCCTGCCCAACCCACGTCATTACGATGATTTCTAAAACACAATTTGGACTATGTCACTCATGCCCCATCTCCTATCGCTTTCTTTATCTTTGGAATTGATCCTCTCCCCTTACTTACTAAGCTGTGCTAGGCCACCTCACATCTTACGTCTAGGCTCAAGCTCTCCCTCTGCCTACCTTGCTCATGCCCGCTTCGCCCCATCGGCCAGATACATTACTACCGATCCTTCAGCACCCTGCCCAAGCCTGTCCATCCCTTCCAAGAAGCCCTCTCAACCTCCTCCCCCCTTCCCAGCAAAATGAATACCTTCTTCCTTAGTATTCCTTGGTTTGCCTAAGTATTCCTTTTGTACTGCAATTTAAGGTAACTGATGAGCTCCTATTAGGGATGGTCTAATTCATGTTTGTAGCCCCAGCTCCAAGCACAGCAAACGTAAGTGTCAGTTCATGTTGGCTGAATTGAACGAAATGATCTTGGCCCCTTCTATTCCTAAGGTGCTTCCCTTACTGTGTATCTGACGCTCACATGTGCTGTCGTGTGTGTGTGTGTGTGTGTGTGTTTTTGCCTTGCTGTCATGGCGCGATCCTAAGGTCATAAAAATAAGCACTTGGTGTCCTTTCTATGTCTTGCAAATAATGCTCAATATTTATTGGTAAATTTTAATAGAAATGTTTGTTTCTCTTCGCTTACAACCTCCAGCAGCTGTTAATTTCCCATCAAAACAAGTCTAAATTCCTCAGTCAGTTTTTCGGGTCCTCTATAATGTCACACCACCCTAAATTATGTATTGCCCCTATGCTTTACCTACTGGACAGCAAGCTGTAATACGCTCATGAGAGCAGGAACTGTGTCTTCCGATCTCGCTCACGTCTGTATCCCTAGGTGCCTAGCAAATGGGAGATATTGAACAGTATTTCCAATTAACAAACAGTAACCGTTCTTTTAGACTGACTCAGAAGGGTACCCATGCGCTGTGCAGCGAG